CAACCTCTGAGGCCGTCACAGAGCAGCTGTATTTGTACTGACATTAGATTACACACAGGTGCACTCTATTTAGTCATTAGCTAATCAGGCAATGTCTATGGGCAACTGACTGCACTCAGACCAAAGGGGGCTGAATAATTACGCACACCCCACTTTGCAGTTATATATTTGTAAAAAATGTTTGGAATCATGTATGATTTTCGTTCCACTTCTCACGTGTACACCACTTTGTGTTGGTCTTTCACGTGGAATTCCAATAAAATTGATTCATGTTTGTGGCTGTAATGTGACAAAATGTGGAAAAGTTCAAGGTGGCCGAATACTTTTGCAAGCTACTGTAAGATGCCAGCAGGCAGTGCATAAATAGAGCGCCATAACGAAGTAGCTGGCATAGTATACAGAAACATCTGTGCTGAGTATGGCTTTGAAGTCCCGATGTCAAAATGCGACACTGGGGTGGGTCTTCCAGGTACAGACAGACAAACTGGTGATAGCTAACCAACCGGACATAGATATAGTGGAGAAGCAGAGGAAGCAGAAGCAGGAAGCAGATGAAGATGGCAATAATCAGATGTAGCTATATGAAACAAAAGCAACATCAGGAAGAAGGAACACAAAAAGTTGGGCTGAACTCTAGAAGATGTGAAGGGTGAAGGTAACTGTGGTCTCAGTGGTAATCAGAGCACTCTGTACAGTGACATCAAAGCTAGGCAAGTGGATCCAGCAGATCCCAGGAACAACATCTGAGATCTCTGTCCAGAAGAGTGCAAACCTAGGTACAGGAACGATACTGTGCAGGACCCTCAAGCTCCAAGGCCTCTGGTAGAGGACTCAAGCTTGAAAGGCTAGACCTCCTGCTGGGATGGAACTCATTAATTACTGTGTGTGTGTTCACCTATCTGTCTATGGGACTGCTGTAGCAGGAGGTAGAGCAGATCATCTACTAATGGGAAGGTCAGTGGCTTGATCCCTGGCTGCTCCAGTCTCTATGCCAAATATCCTTATATCCAAGATACTAACCCCTAGTTGCTCTCCATTCGCATTATGAATGTGTGTGAATGTTCAATACAAAGCACTTAATGATGAGCATGTTTATGTGAATATGTGAATGTTTTAAGGGGTTCCAGGAGAGTAGAAAGGCTCTATATAAGAATCAGTCCATTTAACATTCTGTGTGTTTCAGCTCCTTCAGTTGATGCCACTGAGCCACCAGGTCAGTGAGTGTAATAGAGCTGATTTTAACTTAAAATCCACTTTGAAGTCTGAATTAATCAAATAATTACCCAGATTTTGTTCTCACTCTGTTTCTTTCATGTAAGGTGGTTCAGACATCAGTGATGAAGCTGATGTTACAGCTGACAGCAGTGAAGGTGAGAGGCGACTGTTGTTTCGTGCTGAGACACAAATGATGAAACACACACAAAGCATCACTCAAGTTTTATTTATATCTTGCTCAGGTGACGTTAAAGATTCTCCTGAAGAAACTGAAGGTAATTTTTTCACCTCTCTGTCCAGCTGACTACAACCCAGTAAAGCATGGAAATCTCTTCATATTTGTTGGTGGGTTTGGTTTAAGCATGCAGGAAGGAGCTAGTTTTGAAATGTTGCTTAAAATGTCACAAAGCACAAAGAATCTACTTTGTATACGTCTTTACACATGTTTATCTCCATAGATGCTGCAGAACAGCCAAATGGTAAATATTTTCTTGTCTTTAGTTAAACGTTCTTAAACTTGATGGACTGAGACTGAGAGCAAGCAAGC